CGATGTACAGTAGTCCACGGTTAAGAGCGAAATACACAACACAAGTGGCTTGACAAACCAATCGAAATATTCCTTTGCTTCAATTCATTTGTGTTGTGTTCGAAGGTTTGGCAAGCCAATTTATAGCTGAAATACAATGCCGGCGAACGGTGAACTCACCACAGCGAAATTCGCGCTGTCAAAATTAGAACACCCGCACGCATATGAAATTGAACACAGCCAAAGNGTTATCATTTCCTCATTTCTAAATATGGTTTAGTTTTTTCTAAATATGGTCACCCAAATTATAAACGCGACCAAATGGGATCAGCTGTTTTCGCTACCGCTCTAATTCTGTTTAAGTAGGCGAAATAGCTGGGCGAACGGTGAACGACAGCATCGCCCATTTCGGCGAAGTTTGCCGTTCGCCGGTATTGTATTTCAAGCATTAGGGAAATTTAAGCTAAAATATTTTTTTTTTTTTGATTTTCTGTCCGCCATATTGACGTTTTATCAAGCCGCTTGTGATGTGGATGGTAAAATTGCCTCATTTGCAACGGAATTTTAACAAAAGTTACGATGTAAGGGAGAATAATGGAAGAAACCCTAATATTTTTAAATTGTGAATTATGCTTGAACGACTCATGTTTGCATGGTATATGGCAAAATGGAAAAAGTAGGTTTGAAGTACGTTTGACAAGTCGTTTGTGTGGTGTATTTAGCTCTTCAACTAAGCGGGGAAATTTATTAGCGGGGATTACTGTACAAGTTTCGCACGATTGCCATTGGGCTGCTTCACACTAGAATGACAGAACAATTATTAGGTGCAATCCCGTATTCCTCGGACTCGGACTCGGACTAGTAAAACTGTCAAAAAATAAAAATTCGCTCAAAGCGAGAGAGTAACATTGAAAAGCACGGGATCGCATTCTAGTAAAAAATTGTAACTTCTGTCAACTTCAATATAACCTCCAATTTTTGGTTGTAAATTTTTGCTTATTTTGTATGTAAACACACTCAGCTCACACATGTAAGGGCATGTGCCAATCGGTAACTTTTTTCTCCGTGGTGAGACGGGGTGGAAAAATTTGCTATTGTGTACAAATAAATTGAATTTTGCTGTGCCAAATGCAGAGTAAAATTTTGACAGTTGAAAAACCAAACAAACGCTCGTGCGAAAGCTTTATTTTTGTGTGTTGCTGAAATTCTTAAAATTTATATTTATTTTATAATTTGCAAGTAACGTACGCTTTTTTTTGCTGTTTCAGCTTTCATTTTCATGTTCACTCCTTATTACCGCCAAGCAATATTATGTGTATACATGGTTATAAGCTGTCAAAATTTTACCTAGCCCCATGAGCTAGGTAAAATTCTGACGTTCTTATTCACCACGAGAAATGTCAGATTTTTACTTTGATCCGTCAAAATTTTCTCTTTTCTATCATTTGGCACAGGCCCAAAGGTTAGTTTCCATCACACAATTCTTGTAGGAATGTGGGGGCAGCGAACTTTTGATTTAACTAACCCTGGGATTCAGTAATTCAGTCTCATCTCAAGTCACTAATTTTGAGATTAGCAATTAGTGACTATTTTTGTGCCTTGGTGCGATTTTGGTATTCAGAAGGAGAGAGTCATAAAAATTTCACCAAAAATGTGTGGTGAAAGCAAACACTGACAATCAACTAATAGCGGTTATGTATGCCCGCACCGCTCAAAGAGTCGCAATGGCCGAGGGGTCAAAGCATTAGGCTGGCAGCCAAGAGGGTCCGGGTTCAAGTCCTCCTCGGGCGTAGAGGATTTTTTTTTATTTTTTTATAAGTAAAGGCCGTTTACATAAGACTCTCCTCGCTTTGCTTGACAGTTCGAACTTTTACAACAAAGCGTTTGCGTTCTTCTCTTCCTCCATATTTTATATCTGTAAATTAGATAACAATATAATAATATGCATTACCTTATTTTCGTCATTAAATGCAAATGCAAGCGCACGAGAAAAGATACATGTAGACAGCTGATCGCCAAAGCGCGCAAAAGATGAGAGTTGCCGATGATTTTGCTTCGCTTTGCTCTCCTCGCATTCTTGTTAGCAAGACTCGTATAAAATCATGTATTGAACTTATCTATCAGAGCGGAATTATGAAGCAAAGCGAAGCAAAAGTCTTATGTAAACTGCCCTTAATCGCTTCTAAAACTGCTCGCAAAACGCCTCATGTTGCGCCTCATTTAGATTTACGTTTTATGCTGCAGGGAGCTGTCCCAAGTTTACGTTCTTTGGTTATACGTAGATAATTATTTTATTCCGAAAGGTATCTATTTTCGTGTGCGACCAAATGCTTTCGAATTCTTTTAATAACTCTGATCGCTCTGTAGGTGCGCTAAGGGCTCCAGCAATTGAACACACACATACAGTGCAACCCTGTGTTTGCGTCAACCTTTCGTTCAGCGGACTCCATTTTTGTTCAGATAAATTCGTGTTTACGGGTGAGTTGGACGTGAAATTTCTGCTGCGCTTGGAAATTATTTATTAATTTATTTTTTTTTATCTCTGCTCCTAATAAACCTACTTGAACAGACTGTACTTTTGTTGAAAAAAGAAGAGAAGACAAAGCAAAAACAAGGGGTTTTTATTATTAGTTTATAAGCAGGTTTTATATGCAGAGATTTATTGTGTTTGTTATTTGGGACATTCATAAGGAGTTTATTGTAGATTTTCCACGTTGGAAAATGTTCAAAAATGGAAAGTGTTTGCAAGCGTTTGCCTGCTGAGTACAATAAAATGTATGCTAATTCGGTAAAATATGGATTTAAATGAAGCTGCGTGAAAGTATAGTTGTGGCATTGTCGAAGTAGTTGTATGTGCTAAATTTTTCCAAATGGCTGCTGTGTCTACGTATCACAAAATGGCGTGCCGCAGATTTCCGGAAACGTGGCAGATGTTTTTGTAATAGATTTTGATATTCTGGACAAGAACCTATGTATTTGCTTGGTTGCCAGCTTGAAAATCGGCAAGTGCAAATAGATTTTAAACCTTTTGTATTTTAAACAGCGTGGATGGAGTTGGAATAAACTGGATGTGGCGCTAAATTAAATTATTTTCAGCGCATTGTTTCGGATTCCTGTTGAAAATATGCGATTGTACGCTTCGATTGTAAATTGTTGCCAAAAAAGATATGGCAATACCACCATTGTTTGATGCTTGCATGAAGTTGGCTGCGCTTTCAAATGTCGCCATTGATATTCTATTACAAACGAAATATTTCACCATTGAAAATTTTCTGTATACTATTTTCGCAGTCATTTCACAAGCACGTCGTCGAAATTGCGTTTAGTCTTTGAAAAAACTTGGCTCCGTGGGAAATCCATTGAAAGCAATCTGAAAATTATTATATTTGTATAGCAATAATTGTTATGCGTACTTGCAAATAAATTAAATTAGGTAATCTTTTATTTTATGCAAGCATGGTTTCATGGGAGTGATGTCTGAGGGTTAGATTTTACTTGTACTGATTTTATATCTACATGAAATATGCATGCACGTAATTTGTGCGTCCATTTTTGATTAAACTATAGTTTCTTTTGTTTTATAGATGATTCAAGATTATATACGTACCAAGTAATAGGACGTATTAGTTATGTAATCTAAGTTGATTGATATACGGAAGAGTCCAAGTCGTTGAAAGTAAAGCTAGTGAGTGACATCATCCGTCTTGTAATTGGCTTTTGTTAAGTCTTTGTTGCAGTAATCACATTAAAAATATGGTGAGTTGGTTAAATACGTTATATATGTAAAAATTCAATAATAAAGAAATAACTCGAGCTAATTTTGTGTTTTAATCGATATTTATTTTTTATGATTGGTCTAATTTTTGTTTTTGTAATTTCAGCCACGAATAGTTCCTCTGCAGCTCCTAAAGTGCCTGAAGGTGCTGCTGGATGACAATGGGGGCATCCTAAGCATAGGAGAAGTAAAACGGATCGCAGGGTGAGTTACCATAAAATTGTTACCATGAGTTAAAAATTTTTCCTTTGAATTGTCTGCAATGCAACTGTGCGTAATGTGTTCGAATTCTTTTGTAATATAAAATATCAGGGTTGCATTTGCTTTAGTATTATTTGATTTGTCTTAACCCTTGGATTTTTTTTGCTTTCAGATTAATGAATAGATATTCAAAGAAACTTGTATCGAAATGCATTTATGTACAAATTTTAAAAGTTACAAAAACTGAATTACTTGGTGAATTTATGGGTGTTGGTGGCTGGTCCTTGGTTTATAACTGGTTGAACGACGCTATACGTGCTATGAATTGGCCACTGGTGCAGGAAATATTAGAATTACTCTTACTTTGTCCTGTTGATGTGGATAGATTGAAGATAAACTCTGCACCAAAGTTGGTGAAAGGACTTTGTAGGGATGGCGGCAATGAAGGTAAATTTTAGTACCAATTGTGTGTATATCGTCTGAATGATGAAATTGCAGTAATTTCACATTTATGAAGGACTGAATTAATTTCCTTTGAAAACTTTGAGAAGAATCTTTGTTTTTGTTTAAAAGAGGTTTACATAGAGAAAAAATTTGCAATTGCTACATAGGGAGAAGTGGTTCGTGGCAATAGGTCATTTTTTTTTTTGCATTGGTGTACATTGGCGTATACATACTGTCATATTTTGTTTTTGTATACATATAAAAGTCATTTTGACAATTCCTTTCACTTTGCTGTCAACTGAAGTCTGCATTTTCGGTGATGAATGTTAAAATTGGCACAATCGTCGCAGAAGTACTGCTAAAACCAGTTTCAACAGCAATAAGTGATAGTTGCAAAACTATTTCACAATTATTTTGATTTTCTTTTGACCTTTTTAATCTGTGTCAGCAAATATAAATTTATTATTAGCAGTTTTGGTTTTAAACTATATTCTAATTCAATTGAATTTTTTTAAATAAAATTTGGATAACCAATAGACTCGTTTTATATAAAATAAATATTTTTTTATTTTTAGGCGTCAGAATACTTGCGAAACGTTTGGTGGAACAGTGGTTGAAGGTGGTAACTGAAAATACAACAAACGCACAAGTTGAAAATGCTCAGCAACAGACAATTGCCAATGTACCTGCAGCTCCAAGTGTTCAAACAACACCTGTTGTTCGGCAAGAACCAAAAATTATACCACCTCCCGCAGAACCAATTAAAATTAAGGCGCCTGTAGTAGTAAGGCAGTCATCATCAAATATTGTAGAAGAGGACCCTTTAGCTGATGTAGCAGATGTGCCAACTGAAACATCTAGTTATACACCAACATCGGCTCAAAAGAAAGCTAGCGAAGCCGGTTTGGTATTCAAACTAGTTATTAGAGATGGTCAGCAAGTTTTGGCAAAAGTGCCAAAGGCCGCGCAAGTGACACCAACCGTCGTTCATGAAGAAGAGAACGAGAGAGATAATGTTGAAGAAGCTGAAGATGAGGCTGAAGTTGAAGCTGAAAAAGCTGAAGGTGAAGTAGAAGTGGATCATGACGCCGAAGGCGATGTCGAAGCTGAGCCTGAAAATGAGGAACAGGAAGTGGAAGAAGAAGTTGACAGCGGAGCAGCCGCCACGGTGGTAGAAGAGGAAGAGGAGACCAGAACATCACTTGATAAACCAGACAAAGAAAGTGAAAGCAGTGCTGACGATGAGACTCCGACTCCACCCTATAATGATAAAGTTGATGATGCAGAAAAGTCTTCAGATCGGAAGAAATCCTTAGATTCTGAAGGTGATAAATCAGAAATTAAAGAAGCTAAAAGTTCAAAAGAAAGAAAAGAAAGCAAAAATAAAGAAAAAGAACAAAAAGTTGATAAAGATAGAGAAAAAGATCGAAAGTCATCGTCTTCCAGCCATAAATCATCGAGTCATAAATCGAAAACCTCTTCTTCGAGTAAGTCAAAATCCTCATCATCTTCATCATCACACCGCAGTTCTAGCGATAAGCATCGCAGTGACAAGGAGCGTTCAAGTTCCAGCAAAGACAAAGATCGGAAAGAGGGTAGCAGCTCAAATAAACATAAATCGTCATCTTCATCATCTAAGTCTTCATCGTCAACAAGTTCAAAAGACAAACACCGCGATAAAGACAAAGATAAGTCATCCAATTCCTCTTCATCTTCAATTTCAACAACTACATCCCACAAAAAAGATAAAGAGCGCGAAAAAGAAATACAAGCGGAGAAGGATAAAGACACTATTAGCAAGTTGACTCAACCATCTATTGATAAATTAGGTCGTATTCCAAAGAAACCTAAGGATGAATCAGAATCCGAAACGGTTAAGCCTGCTTCAATCACAATACCCTCAAAAAAGGCATCAATGTCGATTGAAATTCGACGCGATTCGGAAAAGACCAAAACAGTTAAAACGTACAAATCACAGTTTCGTTCGCATGGTCTAACTGAAGAAGCGCCACCACCGCCGTCACGGAAAGGTTTGAAGAAACCAATATCGATTGCATCAGCGCCTGGTACTGTCATTCCTGCAAGTTTGCCTTCATCGCTGAAGCGGCCTTCACCACCACCTAGTAGTAGTGATTCGCCCACACAGAAGAAATCCAAGATCGATATTAACAACCTGTCTGTGGCTAACGAGAAACCTGGAGCCATCAAACTCATCGCTCCCAAAAAGAGTAAGTATAATGCATTACGACATTTACTAATGGCATTCTGCGAAGTCTCATTTCAGGAGTTTGGATGATGCTAGTTTTTGCGGTTTGAGGTTTTTTATGTATATAATTTTAAAAGTGTTATCTCGTGCAATTTAGCAATAATGTAGGTTGTCAGCTTTTTGTAGAGTGTTGGCAACACCACGCTTCGTCATTGGACTGCGGGGAACATTGGAACTGAATTTCTTTTGTCTTTGTTGTCCAAACATCCGGCATAGACTAGAAGCAAACGTTTGGCGTTTTGTCAAACACTTTGATGGTCTCTAACGCGATAGTAATTTAACTTTTGCTTGTGTTTAAATTAAAAAACAAACAAAAAAATCGATCAATTTAGCTACGGTAAAGTTACATAATTTGGCTGTTTGTAAAAATGTAAGCATGCGGCGCTTAAATCAAAGTTGTGCTCTTTCAAAGTGATTGTATGTATGTAACATGAAACGAGAAGGACTAGATCAGTGGTGCACATCGATATGTGCGTGAAAACCGAGCGAGCCTTTAGAGCTGCCGTGTGCACCACCGGGCTAGATGCATGCGCATACGTTTGAGATTGCGAAAAAATTGCTTATTGGTTTACCTACTCTAACTTACGTCTGGTAGAGATCATTGACTTAAAGAGAACAAATTTTTTCGTAATTTTATATTTGCGTATGCCACCTTCTGAATGAAACATTAATAATACTGTAGTGTCAATTAAATTTGAATGACCAGAAACAGAAGACTAAAGCCACAATCAGTGGATCGAGCATAAAAAAGGAGCTGATTGGAGGCGCCTGGTCCGCACTGCTTCATACATCAATCAACTGCAAGTTGCTGAACAGATAGGAGAGTGCCCATCAGGCCACATTGTGTTAAAAAGACGAATTCAATCAAACTCCTAAAATATGTTTACATGTGTGTGATGAAAGACGGTTGAGCTGGATAAGTTGCCGGGCGGTTAAATAAGTTCAAATGATGTGCTCAACATCGATTTATGAGCGCATTTAATTTTTATTTAATTTTTTGTTATTAACGAGTTTAAAACGACGAGCAAATCGAGACGACGCTTTCAGTGAAGACATGGTTTGTGGAGACCGGATGTTAAGTATGCATTTTATTTATATTTTCTAACATATATATTCATTCATATTGAATGTTTAGTGGTTCTATTAGTGTCATTACATTGTAATGTAATGTCACGTGGAAATTTTCAATTTTTAGTTAATAAGTATACAAACACTGAAAAAAATATTGAAAAATAAGCAAGATATGCAACCTAACATAAGACATAAGACAAAGAGTTGGTGAAAAATAAACAATTCTTTTCAACAAAATAAAAACAATGATTTGAGCTGATGGTCTTCAAAGTTTGGAAGCAGTCTAAAATTCAGAATGGCAACATGAATTCACGATATGTGTATATGATATAGGAAAAATGGGCAAACACGTATCATCACATGCGTTGCAAAGGTACGCAATTGGCAACGAATTAACTTGTTATAACCAGAAGTATAAAGAGCCGAGTGACGCCACATTAACCTAACTTTTTTGACTCATTTTTGAGTCCAGTCAAGGCATTCCAATAAATACGAATCTATCTTTCATCACACTCTAGTCTCAATGTGCGTTACACTCAAGTTCAGGCTAGAGGTCTCACATGCAATGAATATGAGTGGAACATAACTAACAATCGCAACTACTACTTTCGCTTTTGAATTACGTTTTTTTTTTTTTAATGCTTTCAATAAAGCCTTGTAAGAATCGTATCACCTTAGACTAGCATTGCATTGAGCGCACACGCGGAATTTTTCGATTCATATCTGTTTAAATGGAACGGAAAGCGCATATAAAATTCAGTTACATTCAAATAAATAAAAAAATATCGTAGCGGGAAGCAAACTGTCTATTCTAAAATTTAAAGAGTATTTAGGGCTAGATGCAGTGTTGCGGTAAGCCGTGGGCACAATAGACCTACCGGTCGCAAATTCTTACTCTACTCGAAAATAGAATATCATTTTGAGGTTAGAAAAGATTATAGTTGCCAACCCGCTCGCAGTTTAAACTAATTTTTTACCTGTTTTCCCCTGAAATCGATACTTTACCCGCTCTACGCGCATTTTTATTATTTGACAGTTTTACTAGGATTTAGTCATACATATCGTCGATGTTTTTGCAAAACCACCCATCGACCAGTTGTAAAACCGCCTAAATCGGCGTTGTGGCAAAAATGAGATTCGTTAACCCTGAACTCTAGGCATCGAGATTTATATGCATAAAAATCGTTAACCCGTTGTTAAACCAGATTGGTAGCATAATAGCTAGAGAACATACCGCCTATCAAGGCAATGCCTTCAAAGAATAAACAGTTTTTTCGCTCTCCTGTAAAATTTGAGTGCCGTAAGATAGGCGGTTTTGCAATTGAGCGATGGGCGTTTTTGCAAAAACATCGACGATATATAAGGTTATAGAGTATCTTAATGAAAGGGGCTTATTTCTACTAACCACTTCACCGGATGCGTTCCTGCGAGTTCAATTATTTTGGTCATTACTGTTACTATCGAGCAATTTCAGCCGCTTCAATGACTGCTAAGATCAAATGAAACACGTTTTCGAATCATACTACGCTAAAGTGTAGCTATTCTCCCCTCCATGCGTGATTCGTTATAAAGTAGGGCTTGACATAACTTGTATCACAACTTCTCGAGCTGAATAGGGTTAGCGCCTGCTTAGATACAGTTTCTACAGTTTTTATTATCAGTTTTATTTATCATGCCCTCTGTGGGCTCTAAATGCCTGCCGCATTCTAAAAGGGTTAAGACCTTGTTCGTGCGAAACTCTAATAATACTGGTATGAGAATAGACTGCGGAATGAATATTACAGGGTCACTAAAATATCCAACACTTAATCTAACTGGAATATGATTTTTTAAACTTTCGGAAAATATGCCACGCATTTCTTGGAGCCTAGACGGGCACTCGCATCTAGAAGCAACATCTGATTAAAGATCAGATTCCACCCTGTTCCATCTGATTTCACTTAACTGAGAGTTTTTGCTGATAAATTTAATAGGGGTATTCTCTAAGTCCTGCAAAACCCTTGCGCGGTGCACGGTTTGCAAAGCTGTCCCATACGAAAACTGGTTTTTACCGTGCTCCGTGCAAGGGCTTTGCAAGACTCGAGAATACCCTTAATATCTTTTAAATTGTTGTATGCCAACTAAAAGCCAGTAGGCCTATTCACAAAAGTCTGTGTACTATTATTAATTTTTTTTAGATGCTAAAAGCAAGCACCTTGGCTAATTTAATGCCCCTGAGCTGCAATGAAATTGGCTTTCAGATAGACACTGCTCAGTTTTTCTATCAATCTATCGAGGCTCGCTCTATCCAGCTACTACCCATTAATTCTGAAAAACTCATCCGACAACCTCGTCTAGCTCTAAAACCATAATCAACGCTGCAGTCTTAATTTTTGCACTTTTTTCAACGTAAAATTCAAGTTTTTAATATTTAATTTAGTTTCTGATGACCTTATTTAAGTAATACTATCTAAATTATTCAATTATTAACTATGAGGTTTTTGTGCACCCCTGTAGTTTCTAAAGAACCCTTTCTAGTAGTGAAGATTTTCCATGTCTGATCTACTCAAGACCCTGATGAATAAAACCATAATTGCTATGCTATAACCTGGCCACGTCCCTTCAAGGCAGATCTTAGTAAAGAAAATATATATAGCACTACCCAGAAGATAATTTTGGTAGGCCTTCTTAAGTAAAGCCATTCTTAGAGGCCTACCCAAGAAGGGCTGAAAAAGTGCTTCCTTGCATGCCTTCCAGAAGGGTTAGCCATTTACGATTTTCGCGAAAGCATAAATTTATATGATTTAGTATTACAAATGAATTTCAATAAACATTTCAAGTTGCACTTCATACAAAAAAGAAAGGAGAAAGGAATGTAGAGTGGAAGGTCTCTTGACTACCCGAAAGGCCTTTCGGAAGGGCTTTCAACTGCTGAAATTACCTACTGGGTAGAAAATTCTTTATCTTACAGCTTTACAGCTTTCCCTTTGTTAGTATACCTCCTGCGTGCAACGGCCTCACACTCCATAAGAAGATGTAGGGGAGTCTCTTTGGCCGCATCGCAGAAGCGACACAGGTCGCTAGACCAGATACCTAGTTTATACAGGTGCCCTCTGAGCCTACAGTAGCCCGTAAAAAAATCCTGTAATAATTCTTAGTTTCACCTTTGGGAGATCCATGAGTAGCCTGTATATTGTCAGATTGTAACCTCCTAATATGCTTTTAGCCTGACGATCGGCTTTCCTATAACATATCAGGCAGGTTTTACAATTCACTTTCGAGTGAATTCCGACCCCACTCAATTTAAATTCAAAGTGACTGGTGAAATTCACTCGGAAGTGAATTGCAGAATCTTATTTTAGCATTGTCAAAAAATCTTGATTTAGGAAACTATGCGGAAAGATATAATATGCAGAATAAGGGTTTTGCTTAGAGAATGCGTTGTTGGGGGCCCGTCAGTCATTCGAAAAAAATGTAGTTATAGCCTTGTAGACTGCTCAATGCTACTGATAGGCTAGAAGACCTTTAATCAACTAAAGTTTAGTACTCTATTAAATACATACATATACTAGAAAGTTCCTTCAATATGCTTTAAAAGCAAGACGAATATGCGTAATTCGAAAACCCTTTTCGATCGATCGTTTTTTTTTTAAATTTTTTTTTTTGTCATACTAACAAACAGAACGCTTAAGTCATTGCATGTGATGCCATTTTAGCAGCGATTTCTGTAAATAGTTGTTCTTTTTATTTATTTTTCTCATCAACACTGTACATACAATCAAATTCTTTCTCGAGTAAGATTCATTCATACACACACTGCTGAAGCAATGCACAAGAGGTGCGTCATGCATTACATATGTACATATGTATTGCAACAATTTCTCAATATACGTATGCCAAAATTTTCTGATTGCTGCCAAGCTTCGTGGACCTAGAGCGTGTTTTCATTTAATATGCTTACAAATAGGTCTATAGTTTTCTCGAATTCAAANAAACAAATACAAGTGATTGATTTACTTCAGTAATACCTATTTGTTGTTGTAGCAGCATATACACTTCTCAAACCGTTTGGAAAATCTTGAAAACTACTGCTATGTGGAATTCGAAACCCCCTAACGTTTCTAAAAAACAATCCTATGGATCCTCCTCTTAGGTTTTAAAGCTAAAGCTATGAGCTGCATAATTTCCCCAATTTGTCTTCCCGGCGCGAATACCATAAGTAAGATCTTCTGGTGATCTAACCTCTGGCTAATATCAAAAGCCACGAATTTTCTCCATTTATTCGGCGGTATCACTGAATCCAGCGTAGTCCGATTTTCGTGAAGTCTACGAAAAAGCGATCGCAGCATCCGAATTGCCACGAACATGCGCATTCAAAATATACCCAGTGATCGGTCTACGATGAATTCAGTGGTGGCCCTGACTATTTCGATTTCAGGCGTGTTTTGATCGTTGAAGATCACTTCCATAGTATCTCCGCTTTTTCAAATCTTCAAAGTACTAAAAAAAAAAGCAAAAAATCGAAAATGCCATTTAGGTTATAATCTCCAATTTCATTCATATCCCTTAACATACAGCTTATCTCCAAATAATACCCCAAATTTTAGTTTCAAAACCTAATGTGCCCGTCAAATCGACGAACTATAACTTGCTGAGTAAAAAATATTACTAGGGATGGCTCCTATATTTACTTCTCTTTAAGACTCAAACTTCGTTCCTTATATTTGCATTTCTAAATTGCAATATCGTCCTTGTTTCAAATTCCTGAGTTCTGCAGAAACTGCAAGTACGAAGGATGAGTTTATCTCATTATATGGCAATAACGCCCAGATTTTTCCTTCGGTAATGATACCCAATCGCAAATCTAAAACAAACTGTTGAAAATCAATGATCTTTCGTTCGTCAAAGACTTTTTAGCTGCTTTATGGCAGCACAGTTCTTGCGATTTTTATTTCGATTGTACGGGTTTTTACTTGCCGCTACAATTTTCCTCACGTTTGTTGTCTGATTAAAACTCAAGAACCCTCCCATAAAATATGCGATCACTTAATTTATTTTATTTTTGGGTTGGTCGGGGCTATTACTGAATCCCTAGTACAGTATGCCCCGGTTAATTGGTCTCCCCGCATAATTGGTTAAAAATATGTGCTATCGGAAAGATATATACTTTAATGTTTCCCTCTTGATTCCCTGGTTAATTGAACCAAATATTGTGTAATTTTTGAAGTTCAATTAAGCGGGGAGTACTGTAGTCAGATTTTCCATGGCATCTATGAAAATTCGCAGGCCTATCACCGAACCCATCGTAGTCCGAATTTTCGGCAAATCTACACGAAATGGCTATTACTGAATCCGAAAAGCTACGAACCTAGCATATAGTACTTTGAATGAACACGTTCGTAGTAATTCGGATTCAGTGATGGAATTTTCGTAGATTTCACGTAAATCGGCATACGATGGATTCAGCGATAGTCCAGGCTGTCACTGAACTGGATTTGTGACGTATAATTCAAAAAATATGCTTCTATTTCTGTTAATCGGATTCAGTAACGGACTACCCTAATATGCATTTAAAGAGCGTGCGCGACATGCTATGTTCGCAGCTATTCGGTTGCTGTGATAGCATTTTCGTAGATTTTATGTAAAATCGGACCGCGATCGATTTAGCCACAGCCCCCTTAGGTTCTTATTGAAAAACTGCTTGGATTCCTTTAAATTTTGAATCCTTCAAGCATTATCCGAAGCTACAAGTTTCACTCGAAACCACGTAGGTAATTTACAGAACTACCTATTTTTCGGTGAACACAATTACCTCTAGAGAGAACTCCACATTAATTCTTGGACTATTTCACGCTTTGAAAAGGCTTATCGCCTTTACAAGTGGCTTAATTCTGAACTATAATCGACAGTCCTTGGCCAGATATACATAGATCTGGGACGTTTCGGCTACGTAGACTTAACTGTCTTGGGAATTCGAATTCAAACATTTAAGCGGGTAAACAGCTACTATAGACCCCCGTTGGTAAACTTGGAATACCGATAACCTAATAACGTAGACATTCCCCTCTGGGCAACGTTGCTAGTCCAAATTTGAAATTTTTGATCTAGAGAAGTTCTTGAGCTCAAGGGAAGACCAATTTCCAATAAAATCAAGCCTAGTACGCAATCGCAAATTTTCAAAACACACTCACAATTTAACCTGTCCTGTCCTGTTTTTTTAAAATGCGTAAGTTCAAGGGCAAGAGTTAAATATCGAGCCCTAACCGCCAAAATAACGTAAACGTTATAGCACTCAGCAAATCATTATCTTCATATTTATGGATTTTTTTCAAATTTCATTTAAAATTTGCAATTTCGAAGTGCTCAAAGTAAAGTTTGAATTTTGCCCAGATACTGTTAATGAAAATAACAAGATGAGAAGTAAAACTAATGTCCTTGGGTCACTGGAAAAAATCCGGGGTCGAAAGGATTAAAAAGGAATCCACTATGAATATTTATTATTATTAATTATATTTTCAATTAATATTATTTATATTTTTAATCTAATTTTCAGAAATCGAATTCCAGCTCTATAACAACCCCGAANTCAAATTTCATTTAAAATTTGCGATTTCAAAGTGCTCAAAGTAAAGTTTGAATTTTGCTCAGATACTGTTAATGAAAATAACAAGATGAGAAGTAAACCTAATGTCCTTGGGTCACTGGAAAAAATACGGGGTCGAAAGGATTAAAAAGGAATCCACTATGAATATTTATTATTATTAATTATATTTTCAATTAATATTATTTATATTTTTAATCTAATTTTCAGAAATCGAATTCCAGCTCTATAACAACCCCGAAAGCAAAAACTAGCAACCAACTCCGCTTTTAAATACCTTAAAATGTCTCTTAAACAATTCTTGACTCGATCGACTAAACAACATCCCCTTTTCCTCTCTCTTTCTCTCTCTCTCTTACAGTTCAAACACTCGTCGAAACGAATCTCTTCTCTGATGCACTCTCAGCAGCTACCGGCCCTAAAAAGATCACAAAGCGCAAGCGCTCCACTACCCCGGCTCCCGGAGGACAAACAAAAGAGGGTCCTTCACCGCCCACAAGTCCTGATGGACCCAAGGTTGCACCTTTGNCAATTCTTGACTCGATCGACTAAACAACATCCCCTTTTCCTCTCTCTCTCTCTCTCTTACAGTTCAAACACTCGTCGAAACGAATCTCTTCTCTGATGCACTCTCAGCAGCTACCGGCCCTAAAAAGATCACAAAGCGCAAGCGCTCCACTACCCCGGCTCCCGGAGGACAAACAAAAGAGGGTCCTTCACCGCCCACAAGTCCTGATGGACCCAAGGTTGCACCTTTGAAATTCTATCAAGACACATTGGATGAGTCGAAGAGCGATGAAAAGTCCGATAAAGAAAATGACGCCAAAGAGCAGAACAGCAAAACTGAAGATTTGGATGCAGCCGATAAGGGCAATAGCACAGAAGACGATGATGATATACCATTGAAAAAGGTGAAGGAGGACATTGAACAGAAGGTGCTGCGTGAACAAAAAGCTGCAGATGATGGTGACGTCGTCACTCCTAGCCCCGCCAGCGGCTCAGTCGATATCACTGGCAGTGATGCGGAGGAAGATGCCGCCACAAAGGAAGCGAAAACGGATGTTGTCGAAGAGGAAGAAGCGCGCAAACCGCCTGGACCTGGTTGTGGTCCGAATGGTCCACCAGGTGTGCTCATGCTACACAGACGCAAAGGCCCTAAAAAGAAGTTGACTTGGCGCACGCAGGAACATCTCGAACAAATACGTTACTTTGAATTGGATGAAAATGAGCGCGTGAATGTGACTAAGGCCCAATCGTTTATGGACATGAAAAATCTGGAACGTTATAGTGAGCGCGATGCCTTCAATATTGCACGTCGTGGCTTCACCCACGATGACAATATGAGGCCACAAACTGAATGGCGGCCACTAATCGAAGTCGACGGCGTACCACCACATCCGAACGGAAATCAATCGAAGCAACGTAAGGTACAAGCCGACCGCGAGCTAACCACTTTGCGTGCGCTCTACTTTTCGCACAGCATGATACCCGATTCACCGGCGGAGGCTGAATTGGAGCCGCATTTCGCATACGATGTGCCCGTTATACCCTTGGAAGACATCACCGGCAATCCGGACGCCGTTAGCGATTACACAAATATGCCTTGGCCCGAACCGAAGGGTTCGCCCAAATACCCAGAAAATAACATAGCCAACAACACTGCCAAACTGACAAATGCGCAAGTGAATGCGTCGTTACCTCCAAACAACGTAAACGCATTTCCTGCTTTTATGCCGCAGTACGGCGNCCAAATACCCAGAAAATAACATAGCCAACAACACTGCCAAACTGACAAATGCGCAAGTGAATGCGTCGTTACCTCCAAACAACGTAAACGCATTTCCTGCTTTTATGCCGCAGTACGCTGCTGCGTCCGCAAATAATATGCATGCATCGCAAATGCAGATGCCCAGACCGGTACCAGGGGTGGCGACAGCAGCAGCAGCAGCTGTAGCTGCGGCGGCGGTGGCGGTTGCGGCGGTGGGCGCCGGATCACATCCAGCATGGCAAGGTGGCAATTTCAATGGACCATTAGGCGCCATAGGCGGTCCCTCAGTTGCACAACAGCAACAACAGAATTTATTGGGAGCATTCGGTCCAGCGGCGGGCAATCCACAATGGCAAATGCATGCCGGCCAATATGGCCCTGCGCAAGGCCCCTTCAATAATGGGCCTAATTTTGGACCTATGGGCATGATGGCGCCGCGTGTTATGGCGAATATGGCAGCGGCGAATGTCTTCGAGCGTAATAATATGAATAATAGTCACCACAATAATAATCAAAATCGGAACAATAACAGCGGTAATTGGCGGACAGGTTCCAATTTCCAAGATAACATTGGCAGTGGTGGTAACTGGCGTTCAGGTGGCGGCGGACAAAATCGAGGCGGTGGTGGTGGCGGCAACAACAACAACGGTGTGTGCAAGGCATACATGCGCGGCCACTGTCGCTTAGGTAAATCCTGTAAATTCATACACCCAAAGAGCAAACGCATATAGGATTCGCCAGAATCTTCAGACGAAGATTTAGCAACGATCTCGATAAGCAACTGTGATAGTGGCGACAAGTCGAAGCATAAGAGAACTATCTAAGCGATCAACGAAACGGAAATGTGATCTGTGAAACGATCTGAGATCGAAATCGATTGCTGCTATAAACTGCCCCGCCTTGAGCCACACTTGAAAGTTCTTGAAAAGGCTACTTGTGGTGTACGCCTTTTGACGCCGGTAATGACTGCTGTTGTTGTTGCTAAAGTATGCGTGTGTATCGCGCATCCCCAAGTGAATAAGTGAATGGTCACCAGCGTCGTAAACTAAATTCTGAATGAATTACAAAGAGGAGAAACATTTTAATTTTTATGAAGTAATATTTTTTTGTACAAAGTATTTTTTTTTTCACTAAAGGATAATATTCCTAGCTAATTAGAAGAAAAAACACTTGCATTTTGGATTATGTAATCATATAAACTATTAATTAATATTTAAATTTATACGTTAAAAGGCAATCGCACTAATCATAGTCGTTAATTACATACATAGTGTAGCATATTGTTTTTTTTTTTATTATAAATCGCCTAGATTCATTCATATATGCATACACTAAACTTATTTTAGCAAAATTGTGTCAGCACTGCCCCTATGCGTGATGCACATTCATAAATGCATAGATACATAGCTATGTATGTACATACATATGTGTATAAATAAATTATCGCTTTCATACGCAGCGCGTCACAGACGCATTCAACGAACTTTTTGCTGTGTTAACATCATTTTGTATATACATATGTCTTATTGCATTATGGACTTAATGTCGAATTTGTTGATGCAATTAAAAAATCATTTCGTGCATAAATTTATACATTTATAACATAGCAATTAAAAGTAGCATATTTAGTCTTAAGCCTTTTCACAAAACAATATGCCGTGTATGCCGTAAAAACATTGCATACATACATTTATAAATAATTTACGTACATATGTAATTATGAAACGCATTTCAGAATTTATATGTATGTTTAAAAGAGAAACCTGTATAATAATAAAATACATTAAATATTCAAAAATAAGATAATCCTTCAATTAAACGCAATTTATGGGAATCTGTGAAGGTGATAATAGACTCTCTCATCATCGACACTATGGCTTGTCGGCAACAATTCCCCAAAGAGTTTTTAGGGAATCAGCTAGAGTCACAGTCCTTGCCCAGATATACTTATGTAGATCTGGGTCGTTCCGGTTATGTAGACACGACTGTCGTGGTAACGTCTGTATATCGTCTAGCGACTTAGGGTGGTATTGCGAAGCGACTGAATTTGGCGAAGCGCATGATTGGCGGACGCAATATAAATATGCATTAGGATGTGTTCGCTTGGCTTGTGCAATTTCTTTCCATCGCGAACACTCTTAGGGCCGGTTACTCAATGTCTGGTTAACACTAATCTCCGGTAAAACATCGTTATCGACGTTACCGACTCCATGTTATATGCATGGAGCCGAACACGTCGATAATGATGTTTAAACGGAGATTAGTGTTAACCACATATTGAGTAAACGGCCCTAAATGCCTTCTCTGCCTCTTAATTCGCTTCGCCGAACCGTTCGCTTCGCAAGTGATAATACCATCCTCTACAATGTCAAGACCTTTACTGGGCCAGAGTTGTGTGGGTCCCTCGCGCCAGTTGAAGCTCACTATCGTCCACAGGGAGTTTGTGTATTCAGTATCAGCGGAATGCCGGTAATAAGCTGTCTGCACTATCCTCGGTCCAACGTTTGTTGTAGGTAGTTCATAAAGTATCCGGGTGCTCACGTCTGTAGTTCCCTACTAGGAAGTGCATGCTTTTCCCACGGTAGCCGGTTCTACGTACCCGATTGACTCGAGTTTTTCCGGGCGGTGAAATCTCTTAATCGTAGGCGGCACATCGTCGGGTTAAGTGGCTAGGGGTGACATTTGTCTGGACCACTTCTGTGAGTTCGAGGTGACCGAATGGTCGAATTGATATAACTTAGGACCGACCGCCCAATAGCCTTGTATGTTGTCAACAACATTTCTTTCTCTTTGTCCCAAGGTCTGCCAGCGAGCTATTTGAGAATCTTGTTGCATCTCCACTACACCCCGGAATGGCTCGGAGTGTTGTCCCGGTCAAGGGCTGTTATTTCAGCGACTTAACTCCGTTAAGAATTTAAAATGGCGAATGCTACCAATCGTTGTTCGTACCTGGAGCAATGCCTTGAAGCAGAGAAAACAGCACACCGTCTTTGTACTGTTTTCAGAAGGTGTTTTAAAATTTTTGAATTCGAATGATCTGCGATTAAATTGCACCGGATTGTTAAAGACCTCAGGTGTTCGTTTCTCAAGAAATCGCTGCGAAAAGCCTCATACCCATTTGCCAAGACGGGGTAGAAGTACTTAAAGTGTTCGGACGTCTCATGCTCTTCAATGCAGGAAGGGAAGGTTAGGTTAGGTTAGGAGGGTGTGTGTGGAATATTCCATACCTTCACTCGGATACAGAATTGTCCATTGTGAGTGCCCTCTTTTAGTGAGTGTTAGGAGGAGACACGTATGTAACTATAAGCCAAAGAGTAGCTTTAAGTCATTATTCTACAGATCCAGCAGTTCCACCTTTGCTACCTCGCCCAGACTGTTGAAGAAGCATGAACACAAGTGATTGAGTCGCTTCGTCTGTATACCTAGACATCAACACAGATAATGGTCAAATGACTCTTCCTCATCCTCATTATGGCAACCTCTGTAGAGAGTAATTGTTGGTATTCACCACCGTTTAGGCATTGGTGCTAAAGCACAGAGTCCTCTGATGGCGCCGGTAAGGACTCTTACTGCAGATCTATTGTCTTTCGGTAGGTCCCCTGTCTTTTTCCTACTAAACCGCGGCGACAATAATCTTGTGGTCCCACAGTCTTCCCGTTTGTTCCACAAGTCATCCGTTACGGTCACGGTATACTCATTAATTTTTCTATCGCGATCACTAAACGGTTGTAGTACGGAGCTATCCGCTTCTTCATTGGCATCTCTGAGCCGCATATGGCAATCTCATCAGCCGACTCATTCCCTTCAATACTGCTATGTCCGAGAGCCACAGTTGATACGGCTTAGTGATACCAGCGTGGTGCGACTTTTCTAAACAATTCCCGATTTCACTATTTTAGTCAAAGTCCAGTTAATAGTACCACAAGTTCACTGCAGTTCTATAGGCTCAATGAAAGCAAATACCTACCAAGACCCTCCGAAATTGAGGGAAATATTAGCGTTGTCCACCTGCAGCCTCTCGAAACCTCCCAGTGGTTCCTGAGCGAAATATTCTATCCATTTTTAATGCTTATTTATATGGCCAGAGGTGTGAGTGCTATAATTGGTTTCGGACCGAGGAATAACAGGTCCGTGCCCTCTTTGGCAAATGGTTGGATGTCTCGGTACCGGTTGTCCTGAGTGATCTGTAACCCAGAGTAAAAACGTGCATCATGTTTTCCAACAAAATTTAGTCCAGATTTGCATTGCCAAATTAGTTTAGGAGTAGTTACAACGCTGCACAATGCCTTGAGTGCTGTTTGCCTCTCATTACAGACGCATAAATTCTTGGACCTAAAATATTTGCCATCACGTAGTGTATGGCCTCGAGGGACGTAAATTTGTCGGCTTGAAGAGGCTTGAGAAGTGTAGATTGTCCTCGTTACTCTCGAAATAGAGTCTAGATCCTGACCCTGCATCAGTTCGGAGTCAACAGTAAAGTAAAGGGTTAATCCAGCACACAGCCTCAGATAACTTGACATTCCAGTGTCTCGTGTGGCTTTGAAAAGTCATTGAAGTCTAAATCTCTACCACTAGAAATCTCCATCTCACTCCACACTGTATCATACCAGCATCCAGCTTTAAGGGCCTTAAGGCCGCGTATAAAAATATTAAGTGACAATAGGTTTAGCAGTGATTCCATAGCCTCCCCAGCTGTTGTAGGAAAAGCTGCCGTACAGCATACTGTAATCGTTCTTTCAAGTTTGGTAGCAGAGTTGCTTCGCATCCTTCCGCTGCGGGCTGGCATTAAGTCCAAATCCGCATCAAAGGCCTGTTTGTGCTGCGAAGCTAGAGACGTACTCTAATTCGGTTAAGTGCAACTCTAGTACTGGATGGAGCCACCTAGGCACGCGCTCCATCCTTTGGTTACATGGCGACTAGATCACATTGTACGTCGCCCCTTGTTGCTTAAGCCATACGGCACGCCCTGCCTCCACGGTATTCAACCTGCAAAACTAGACGGTGCAAGCAAGAACGCAAGGAGCCATCTCAATTACACGGAGCTCTCCTGTGCAACAAACTAACTACAATAGCCGTTCCAACTCTTAGGAAGTATCTCAAGTACCCTTTTTATGGCAGCAGGTTGAAAATCCTTCAGCATTCTATGGCTACTTTGGATGCGGCTCCATTCGATTTTAGAGATTTAATAACAGCTTGGGTG